GCTGCTGTTGCTGCTGCTGCTGCTGTTGCTGTTGGTACTTGGCGTATAATACTCTTTCAGTTTGCTCTTCTAATGGAGAAGGGAGTGCCGTTAGCTGCTACGATTGCTGCTGCTGCTGCTGCTGCTGCTGCTGCTGCTGCTGTTGCTGCTGCAGAGGCTCTCCCTCGGATGCCTATAGTTTCGGTGTACACGCAGCAGTTTCTTAATCTAATGGAGCAGCAATTTAAAGGCGCAAGAGACAGAATCTTCTTCTCCACCAGTCCTTGCAGGTATATCTGCTGCAGCAGCAGCAGCAGCAGCAACTGCAGCAGCAGCAGCACAGCAGTAAAACAGCACCAGCAGCACCGCAGTAAAACAGCAGCACAGCAGTAAAACAGCAGCAGCAGCAGAGCAGTAGAACAGCAGCAGCAGCAGAGCAGTAGAACAGCAGCAGCAGCAGAGCAGTAGAACAGCTGCAACAGCACAGCAGCAGCAGCAGCACAGCAGCAGCAGCAGCACAGCAGCAGCAGCAGCAGCAGCAGCAGGAGAGCTGTGTGTGCGAGTGCAGAGTGCGGCACTTGAACAGTTTTTTGGTCTTCTTTCGTCACGACGTCTACGCTGCACTCGCGAGAGAATGTCTGCTCACGGGCGGCTTAGACGAACGCGCAGATATCAAACAAAACCTAGATAAAATCGTACTGTCGCCCTAAACCCTAAACCCTAACACACCCTAAACCCTAACACATCCTAGATAAAATCGTACTGTCGCCCTAAACCCTAAACCCTAACACACCCTAAACCCTAGACCCTAAACCCTAAACCCTAACAAAACCTAGATAAAATCGTACACTCACCCTAAATCCTGAACCCTAGACCCTAACACAACCTAGATAATATCCTACAACAACCCTAAACCCTCATCTCTAAACCCTAAACGCTGTATCTAAACCCTTTGCTGCAGCATCAAACCCTAAACCCTTACCGTACCCTACAGCCCTAAACCCTCTTCCCCTCAGTGCATTAAAACGCCTTGGCGGCAGCTTAGGGTTTAGGGTTTAGGGTTTAGGGTTTAGGGTTTATACGGGTTTAGGGTTCCTAAGGGGTTTTAAGGGTTTAGAGTTTAGGGTGTAGGTTTAAGTGTTGAATACGATAATGGGTCAATTTCATATCTATCTGGATTAGGGATTAGGGTGTTTAAGGGTTTAGGGTTTAGGGTTTAGGGTTTAGGGTTTAGGGTTTACGTGCAGGTGTTGAATACGATAATGGGTCAATCTCATCTCTGCCCGTGTCGCGCGGATCATCGCCTAACAAAAGCAAAGGATGCTGCTCTTCTTCTTTTTCCTACTCCTCACTTAGTATGTTTAAATGTTTTATGTTTATTGTTTGTTTGTTTGTTTGTTTGTCTGTTTGTTTTGTTTGTTTTGGTTGTTTGTTTGTTTGTTTTGTTTGTTTGTTTGCTGATGTATTTGTTTATGTATTTATTTATTTGTTTGTTTGTTAATTTGTTCATTTGTTTGTTTGTTTTTCTTTCTGTTTATTTGTTTCTCTATTTCTGTACGCATTTATCTATATTTATTTACTCATTTATTTACTTATATATATATTTTATTTATTTATTTATTTATTTATTTATTTGTTCTGCATGCAGTTGTTTCTCTGTGACTCGAGTTGTCCTCCGTTTATTAATTTAAATCAAAGTCAACCCGATGATATCATCGTCTGCAATGCAGGTAAAGAAAAAGCTAACCTTAAGGCCTCTAGGGTTTAGGGTTTAGGGTTTAGGGTTAGGGTTTAGGGTTTAGGGTTTAGGGTTTAGGGTTTAGGGTTTAGGGTTTAGGGTTTAGGTTTAGGGTTTAGGGTTTAGGGTTTAGGGTTTAGGGTTTAGGGTTTAGGGTTTAGGGTTTAGGCAAGGCAGATGAAGGAAGCCCTTGCCGTAGTGCCTCTAGGGTTTAGGAGTTTTATTGTTTAGGAATTTAGTGTTTAGGGTTTAGGGTTTAGGGTTAAGGGTTTAGGGTGTTCGGGTTGGTGTTTGTTTTTTTTTTCTTTTTCTGTCTGTCCTCTGTTTCTTTCTTTCGTGTTTGCATTTGTTTCGTTTGTTTGTTCGTTTGTTTGTTTATTTCTTTTTGTTTGTTTGTTTATTTATCCGTTTATTTGTTTATTTGTTTATTTATTTGTTTATTTATTTGTTTTCTTTTTTGTTGCTCCTTTCATGTTGTATTATTTGTTGTTTGTTCGTTTTGTGTTTTATATTTTGTTTCGTCTATTTTATTTTATTATAATTTTATTTAATATATTTTTATTTAATTTTTATTTATTTTATTTAATTTGCTGCAGATGCGTCCTTCGGACAGAGCCGCAAATTTTTTCGATATGATGTGTGGAAGCATACACTAGAAAAATTACAAGTCTCTCTAGAGTAAAGATTATTTATTTATTTATTTATTTATTTATTTATTGTTAATTGTTTGTTTATTGTTTGTTTATTTACTTGCTTATTTAGCTTGTCTTACCGTCTGTGTATTTATTATTTTCTTATGTATATATCAACTGCAGCAAATGCAGCTGCGAGGCTTTCTTGTTTTCTTTAAACAATAATACTGAAAAGCATCATTCATTATTCTTGCTGCTGCAGCAAGTGCTGTTGCAGCAAGTGCTGCTGCTGCAGCAAGTGCTGCAGCAGGTGATATGCAGCAGCAAGTGCTCTGTTGCTGCTGCAGCTTGCTCGTAATGCTGCTTCTGCTGTATGTGGAGACAGCTTACGGGTTTGTGTTTTCTTCTTTCGTCGTACATTTTTGTTTTTTTGTATAGATGCATTTATTTCTTTTTTATCTCTTTTCTTCTTCTCCTCTACACCTCCTCCTTTTTAAGCGCTAACTGCTAGTTATTTACAGCCGAAGCATAAAATAAAAAAAGAAATCAAAGAAAACCCTTAAACCTCAACACGATGTCCATGCTATAGGATGTGGTGTGCTTGCTTCAGGGTTTAGGGTTTAGGGTTTTCTAGGGTTTAGGGTTTAGGGATTTGTCTGTACGATAAGACAAGTAATGCCTTCTTTAAGTTGGCTACACAGCGAAGAAAGCCTCCCATTAGCTGCTTTAGTGTTTAGGGTTTAGGGTTTAGGGTTTAGGGTTTTAGTGGGAATAGAGCGAGGCAGTCGAGCAGAAGAGCACAGAAAGAGAAGACAGAAGGAATGCATCCGTAAATTAATTAAATGCATGCAATGAAACAAACAAGAGCCTAAAGCATGACAGGCAAATGAGGAGATGGAGGAAGCCCTCCGTAACCAGTGGTCGTGACCAGTGGTTACGAATGCTTTGTGTGCGTCGGGGGTGGGTGCCGGTGCAGTGGGCGATAACTTTTAAGTAAACTCTCTTAATCATTTCTAAGCAGGAGGGAAAGGAAGAGGAGGAGCTAATTGCGCTGTTTTTGTCTTTCTTCTGCTTGTCTGCAACCAGGGTCAATTGATTGGCGCCTGCATGCGATGCTGTGTTGTGTGCAACCAAGTAAGGGGGAATCATAAAAAATACTGAAGCAGAGACTTCCTTATATTCTCTTTGCCTATATTATTCTCCACTTTCTACGCCTTCCTTCATTTTTCAGGTGCTTTCGCCTCTTCGCTTCGCGACTGTCTTTGCATTCACCAGCTTAGACCGTCTTAAGGCTTTGAACTGTAATGTCTTCAGAACCTTCTACATGAATAAACGAAAGAAAAGCATAAGTAATGAGCGTACAGAATTAGAAACTTCATGTTCGTTGCTGTTCAACTTGGGGTGTACAGGCACCTGACCAACGATGTTGAACGGTCGTGCACAACGGCGTGCGCTGATGCCTGTTTTCGGTGGAAAGCTGGGGGTAAATAGGCGCAAATGGTGCGATCTTTGTGTGTTTTGTTGTCTATTCTTGTTCATTTTCCCTTTTATTCATGGGGAATTAGCTCGAGGGCTCGGGCCCCCCCTGCAGTGTTGCAGAATCTGCTAATGTCATTAGTTGGGCGTTCGCCATATGTAACAGAGAACGCAGAGGATGCAAGAACGACGCAAAGCCCTATGATGTGAATTTATTTCATCTTTTTATTTCATATTTTCAACATTAATTTTTTAAAATAACAATTTTTAGCTCTATTCACCTCATCAAGGCGCATACACCAGACTCCCTGCCTTCACCGTTCTATCGCCCGTTCGAAGGTAAGCGGCCTTCAAGGATGCATGCATGCATGCATTTGTAGATATTTTTTGTTGTTTGTTTCCGGCCTTTTACTATTGAAATCATCTCCTTTTGAATAAACAGAGTCTATTCAAGAAGGTACTCAACCACCGGTCCCACCCGCTGCCGACCGCGAGTTTTGTCTCAGCTGTATTTCACATATTTTCTTCTCTGTAAAGGAAAGTAAAAAAAATAAAAAACGCATGCGTTTATTTCTTCAGAAATCGATGAAATGGACCAAAAACTCAGCCAAGTTAGGCCAGCAAACATCCCGCCGCTATTCTCTATAACTCAATATATTTTTAATAAGGCGTGTATATCATTATATATATATATATATATATACTCCTATAATTATAAACAAAATATGTAATTGTATATGTGTATATAATAGTGCACATATAAACAAATTATCTTTATTCACTTCCCCAGACGCAAAAGGAGCGAGAAGCCCTTCAAAAGAAGTGGAAAGGCCTCGCAGAAGCTTCGGTAATGCGTTGATCTCCTCAAAACCCTAAACCCTAAACCCTAAACCCTAAACCCTAATTCTTTCAGAAAGCAGTAGTTTCCCTAAGGCGCGTGGCTGGCGTTACTCCCTCTTCAGTTTCTACAGAATACCTAACGAAGTAAGACGAATTCTTCTTTACGGTGTAGCTTAGCCTTAATAGCTCTTTGTTTGTTTTCATTACTATTATTAATATCATTATTATTATTAATTATTACTATTAATTATTACTATTAAAATTATTATTAGTAATATTATTAGCATTATTATTATTACTATAATTATTAATATTACAGTTATTATTATTATTATTAATAAATAATAATAATAATTATTATTATTATTATTAATTATTATTTATTATTATTAATATCAGCATCCCCTTCTTAACCCGCTACGGCCGGACGTACAAAACTGCGGTGTATCCACAGCTGCAAACCCCTGAAGCCTCAACACTCGCAACGCCTCAGCCTTCTGCTGCAGCGCTGCTGCATGCAAATATGCCTTTTGCTGATGTGCAGCAGAAGCTGCTGCAGCAGCAGCAACTCATTATGAACGTACGTTAAGCTTCCTGCTGCTGCTGCTGCTCTCTCTCTCTCTCTCTCTCTCTCTCTCTCTCTCTCTCTCTCTCTCTCTCTC